TAGAATGATAAATAAGACAAGAATGGTATATAAGGTGAGCATGAATTTGATATAGGTCTGTAAAAAAAGATGTAACCCAGGGCTAAGCCACTTTTCAAAAGAAGTTTTATGTTTTATGTTTTGTGTTTTGGTTAGCTCTGTTCGATTGAGAATTAATAAAACCTTGGAGGAATAAAACTAAAGGGAGAAACAATGAGAAACTTGGAAAAGATGTGTATAAATTAAGGAGGTTTTATGCTTTTATGTCTTGTTTGATGTTTTGTATTTTGTGTGTTTATGTCTGATTGAGAATTAATAAAACCTTGATAGAAAGAAATATAATTGAATAAAAGTGAAGGGAGAAATAATGAGAAATTTGGAAAAGATATATATGTGCTTAAACGGAAATGTGATAATGTGGAACTATGTTTTAAAAAATAATGTTTTATTTGTCTTGTTAAAACTTATAAGTAATTTTTAGAAAGGAGGTTTTGTGCCTTTATGTCTTATGTTTTGTTTGTCTTTAAAAAATCAATAAAATTTGTTTAAAAAAAAAAGTTACAATGGCACTGAAAAAAGTGACATGACTATTTTTCACACTTACAACTGTTGCAGCATCCCCACAGTCATGAGAGCCAGGCGAGGAGATGCGTGCCTTGATGTGAGTGATATTGAGTTGGCCACACCCAACCAATAACATGACCACCAAGCCATGTCCACCCAGTCACATGACCACCAAGCCATGCCCACCACTTAAGCCACGCCCATGAACCGGTTGTTAAAAATTTGAATCCCACCCCTGGTGTGAACTCCCAATCTTTCTTTGTGGTGAGGATGCTGTTCTAATATCACAAGCACCTGTTAGATTAAGAAGACCAATTGAAGCAACGTTAAGGTACTGCCAAAAACCATTGAATTCTCAATTTTGAGAAAATGAAAATTCTTTTTCATTAAAACAGCTGTTCAACATTCCTGGAGAGTAGAAGGGCATGAACTAAAGCAGGTTAAAACATAGGCATAGTTTCTCACTATATAGGCATTTGGACTGATCATCAGAATTATGTGATGAGATGAGCCCTTAGTTCAATGAATGTTATTAAATGTTTTTAAATAGATACTGGTGGAGGCCAATCAGTTCCGACTGCTTTAAAACTGTTTTTTTAAAAAGCCAAAACTTTATTTGAAAATCAAGAAATCTAACTATGTATTGTTGCTTACCCTCCAACAATGGACGTCATTATTTTAAGGGGGAGATCTGGAGTGTGCCACATTTGTCCATCTGTACAGGAGAAGCAGAAATCATGATGGATGGATGATCCATCAGATTTGGGGGAAATTACAATAGGTAATTTCCAGTTTAGTTTGTACTTCCAGTCAATCTCTATATCCATATCAGAGCAAGTACACATGTCGCACAAGAAAAAAAAAAGTTATTAAACCCCAGCAAACATTTAACTGGCAAAACAGGGAAAAAGTCAAGCAAAAAACAGGGAAAGGAAGATATGAACAAATAAGAGATAAACATCTACCCATATCATTAGACACAGAATTTTCCTGTTTCCTTGGTGTATATATTTTTTATTCATAAACATTTTGAATACAGTGTATTGTCAGGGCATATCATTGACAGAAAAGCAAAGAAAGAACAAAAAGGAATATTATCATGTATACTAATACCAATAATAATAGTGTAACAGAATAGTTTTAACTAGATTTCTCTGTATTAGCTTATTTGTAATTCTGTTGGTTATATTGGCATATTTATAATTATAAACCATCTTTATATTTAGTTCATACATAGCAATAATCTTTCTTCATCTTATTTCTACCTCTTATCTCTAATCACTCATAAAACCTATGTTAAATAATATTCTGTGTCTTCTTTGTCCTTTTTTTTAATGTCAATCTACCCATCTCTGCACAGTCTAATATTTTCCAAATTATGTCCTCATCTGATGGAGTGTTCTCATTTTTCCACTATTGTGCAAATACAATCCTTGCTACTGACAGTACATGCAAAACTAGATATATAGTCCCTTTATCATATAAAGATAAGGACACAAAATTTCCCTGAATATCTGGAAGGAATACCGTGATAGTTAGTAAGGGCAATCCCAAAGCGAGTGATCCTTGGTTATTTTAGCCCTAACCTTTTATGAACATAACAGCAGCAAAGAGGGCAATTAGGTTAACAAGTTAATATGTCATGCAACTTAGAGTCACCTTGAACTGTGAGATGGGTGGTGAATAAATGTAATAATAAATAAAGATAAAATGTGACCCTTATTCTATTCTGCACTGTGAAGGAAACCATTTTGTGGACGGGTATGATATCTCAAACACAAATAGGTAGGCCCTAAGCCAGTGGTCCCCAACCTTTTTTGTACCAGGGACCAGTTTCACACAGAAACACTTTTTCAAGGACCGGGGGGGGGGGACACTTTCTCAAGGAGGAGGGGAGGGGGAGGAGTCCGAGTTTGGTGGTTTGCTTGCAGACGTTTCATTACCTGACTAGATAACATCTGATGTTGTTACCTAGTTGGGTAATAAAACGTCTGCCAGCAAACCACCAAGTTCAGGGAGGCTCAGGACAAGTCCCTGCAGGATGGCTGAGAAGCCCCGCCTCTCAGCCCTGCCTCCCTCAGCCTCATCCCTCAGGTGTCTCCCTCCCTCCCTCAGCCTCATCCCTCAGGTGTCTCCCTCCCTCCCTCAGCCTTATCCCTCAGGTGTCTCCCTCCCTCCCTCAGCCTCATCCCTCAGGTGTCTGCCTTGTTCCTCTCTTAGTCGCTCTCTCGCTCCTCCACCAGCCCAGGAAGAAACTGCTTCAAAGAAGCCGGCAGGGTGGCTTTTCCTGTCGGCGCAGCTCCTCCGAAGCGCCCGTTCACCCCCACCCCACTGCCCGCGGTTCAATCCAGTGCTCCATTCTGCCTGCCTGCCTGCCTGCCTGTCTGCCTTCCTTTCTGGTTGTTTCGGAGCAGCTTTGGCTGAGTAAAAGAGGCGAATAGTTATTATTCTCAGCCAAAGAAGAAAGCCGCCATTTTTATTTTATTTTTTTTCTTTGCGGCCCGGTACCAAATGATCCACGGACCGGTACCGGTCCGCAGCCCGGTGGTTGGGGACCCCTGCCCTAAGCTATGTAAGGCTTCATCTGTTCTTGTTCCTATGAAACAAAGAGTCCCATCAAGGCCTGTGTTCTACTGGAGAAATTCATCCTATCGTATCTCTATGACATAGTAACACTAGCTTCATACTTGGTCCTTTTACAGTTCTAAAGAACCAGTGAGCCTTATTTCCCAGCCTTAGGGTTAGAATGGAATTCTAATTATTTTGTACAATAATTCCTGTTTTATTTTCTCTAAAATCCTAGCCAGTAGCAACTTTTGGACAGGTTTCAAACAAAAGAATTGGTCAAAATTTGGACAAGCGATACAGTGCATTGTAAAATATTAAAAAGCAGTTTCAAAGGAGGCTTTCTCCCTCTTGTGGCTTATTATGAGCCATGGTGGTGCAGTGGTTAGAGTGCAGTATTGCAGGCTATTTCTGTTGACTGCTGGCTGCCTACAATTTGGCAGTTCAAATCTCACCAGGCTCAAGGTTGACTCATCCTTCCATCCTCCCAAGGTGGGTAAAATGAGGACCCAAATTGTTGGGGCAATATGCTGATTCTGTAAACCACTTAGAGAGAGCTGTAAAGCACTGTGAAGTGGTATATAAGTCCAAGTGCTATTGCTATTATGTATGTATGTATACCCCACCTTTATTATTATTACTTGCTCTTATCCATGTCTTGGCTTGCTTAAAGTAGGGAACAGCTGAAATCCTAGGGAACTCTGTTTCCTTCCATGTAGAATGGGATTGTTTACAAAGTCTCTTCTTTACATTCTTCACCCTATGATAAAATGACTGAAATGCATACATAATTGGATGGGCATGATCCTTGAGATCAGGGAATAGATTGTAAGTTGAATGTGGTACCTCCACCTACTCATCCCTGATTTGTTTATGTTAATAACACACTCATTCTTGCAATATGTAAGAAATAATCTTGCACTAGACCAACCTTAAGACATACTGGCAGCAGAAAATATCTCAATGTTTTGATGATCAAGCTATGAGAATCCAAACAATGAGAAGGGAAAAGTTACAATTTCCTGGAAATCTCTTTATGAAACCCTGTTGGCGTAGCGTCCCTTAGATCTATTAGTTTTGACAACCTCCGTTATTCTGGTGCGTCTTATCATCTGTAAAGTTAACAAGGGCTGATAAGAGATGATGAGGCCCCATACTAGTTTGTATTTCAGCACTCATAAATATTTCACAATGCCACTTTCTTACAATCAGATACATTAGGTTGCTGAGTGTAGATACTGCTGAATATTCACTCACTTGCTGGGATTTAACAAAGGGCTTGGAAGAATAAATTTAAAAATAAAATAAAAATCAACTGATAATACCCTCAGGTTATACGGCTTTGCTCCAGTGTTGCTTGCTTTCATACGTCTTCTGTAATTTGAATATTTTATTTTTTTTAATCTCTAAGAGTGGTTATCATTTTCCACAATAACATATTACAGCAATTTACAGACATGCTATTTTCCACTAAGTTATTTTTATAGCTCTGAGAATGTCAATTCTAGAATGCCCTTTAGTATCTGAATGGCTGGGTTATTATGTATTTAATTTGGAATTAATTAAACTAATTTTGAATGGTTTGGAATTACTGCTGATTCTTTGGAGAAGATATTTAGCTAGGAACGTATCTTCATTAAAACTCTCCCATTTGACGGAAATAATCTCTTTCAAAAGCCACTGGTGAATATAGCATATCTTATGTTTTATTATTATTTGTTTAATGTTTAAATCATTGTAGTCAAATTTATTCAAAAGTAACAGAAATAGGGATTTTTCCTTCCCCATTTACTTTAATACATTGGAGTGGAAAAATATCACTTGATTATCAGCTGCAATATTAATTTCTTTTTTTGGTTCCTTGACTCACAGCGAGAATAATGTCAAGGCAGCAGAGAACCAATTAAATTGATTTTAATCTTTGTCAAGGAAGATAACATGCCTTTTTCTTTTCTTGTTTAAATAATTAAAGTTTCAGTAGGTATTATTTTAGAGTTTAAAGAAATCGGTATCTTAATGTAATGGACCTTCTAATTACATACTTAATAGTCTTTAATAAGTTAATCATGATTTTTCATTTAATGTGTGTTTTGGTTTTTGTGTTAACTTTGTATTTTCTTTTGTAAGACTTTTAAACAAAAGGGAAAGGGGGAGATTATTTTGCCTCAGCTTTTATTTGAAGCACTATTCTCACATTTCACACATATATTTTCTTTAAAACAAACAGAAAAGATTTCATTAAAAGTACATGAGACACTTTCCCCTCTTATTAGCATTATAAATATTTAATAGCACAGCTCAATAAATTAAGAGGTCAAGAGGAATAAGCTTTTCCTGCCTCAATTAACATTCCATGAATTACATACTTTTTAATATTTTGCATCATTAGATCATTGGAAATATAGCCAAGTAAACTTTTTAAAAGATCATTTTAATAGGGGAACAGGCTCTTAAGGTGTTCTGGTGGTCCCTTAATAGGACCATAACTGAATGTTATTATTCTAGGCTTAATTTGATGAAATTTTGTATATAGTAAAGAAGTATTTTCCAAAAGCTGTTCAAGTAATGCTTAGAAAGTGATAGAGGCGATAAATATCTGCTGGCTTGGATTGGAAGGATTTTCCTTTTGAACAAAACTATGATTCTCTTAAAGCCCTTGTTGACTTATAGAAAGTTGATGCAATTGTACCTCTATTTTGTTAAGAGTCTAGTCAGCCTTGTAGGTTTTTAGAAGACAAGGAAACAATAGATATAAGGGCAAGAGAGGCAATGAAGGAAGTCCCATGCTGAATTTAATCAAACTAGAGTTGTTTTGGTGCTAGCAAAGTGATCCTACATCTCATCCCAAACTGTATTAATATAGTAGCATTTGATAGGGAAGAGCCTCAGGCCAAAGCTTTATTTAATCTAGAATTCTGTTCCCATTGTAGTCAACCAGAAGCTCCCGAGAAGCCTGTAAGCGCTTTAGTCAGGGGTGGGCTGCTGGAGGTTTGCAGGGGTTCAAGAGACCCTTTAGCTAAGATTCTGCACAGTTCGGAGAACCCCCAAATCCCACTCCTGGCTGGCCCTGCCCACCCCACTCCACCCATCTCAGGAGTTCTCACATGGCCCGTTTTGGATGCAGGTAAGTGCAGGATACGTGCAGAGGCTTGGGGATGGTGAAAAACGGGCCTCCTGGAAGTTCAGGAAGGCCAGAAATGGGCCCATTTTCAGCTTCCAGAGAGCCTTCGGAGCCCGAAGTAGTCATTTTTGCCCTCCCAGAGGCTTGAGGAAAGCCTCCGGAGCCCGGAGAGGGCAAAAATCCACCCCCCCGATGCAGAAGGCTGACTAGGCCACACCCACCATGGCCACGTCCACCCAGCAACCAAATAGAGAACCCGTTGCTAAAATTTTTGAAGCCCACCTCTGACTTTAGTATCTCACTAAAATATATTTCACATTGCTTCTGATAGAGGAAGCTAGTATAATAAATAAAAATAATAATATCCAAAGCAGTATCCTCAACGTTATAACTGTCATCTATTCATTTATTTTAATTGTCTTTTCTTAACTGTTTGTTCCCAGCCATCTCAATGGCATCTTTGCCTGTTAGGACTAAATTGACACATGCTGATCTTTCTTCTTTCTTTTAAATATCCTATAATTCAATTAAACATGATGCTTTGATAAAATTTGGCCACTTTACTGCTCATCCCTAATTCTAAATCACATTTGGGCAAGTTTAAAAGCATGATTATCAAACAGACATTGGGTAGACTCTATTCTTAATTTCCTTCCAGGTGTGAGAATTGCTTATTTACTCATTTTTTTCTTGTTCTTTAACCACAATAAGGCTTTTCCTCTAATTTCCTGACAGCAATTTACTTAGGAATCTTTGATAAGAAACTTGGTTAAAAATATTGGTCAAGAATCTGAGCTAACATGGTCTAGTGAATTGCTCCCACAGTTCCATGGAATAGCTGGTGAGCTAAGGCTAGCGTCTAGCAAGAAAGAAAAATCAACAGCTTTGCCAGTGTTATTTTTCACTCAGAAAAAAGATGGCTGCTTGTGGAATTGTGCCACATAGCTCAGCAATGGAGTAGCCTATCCTACTTCTTTACACCAACCTCCTGCCCTCTGGAGATCTTCAACAAATAAGTGTAAGATTGTGACGGAGTGGGCAGGTATGTGGTGCAAGCAGCTATGGGGATCTCAAGTGGAAAGTGAGGTATGGGGTATCTGAAGGGGTAGGGGAAGACTTTGGGAGGCCTAAAGCAGTGGGCTTGTGCCTGTATTAGGACCCCAAGTATCTCCCTCACCCCGCCCCCCCAAGGCACCCATGCTCCACTTATCAACCAGTGAGTTCATTTAACGATTCATTGAGGAAAGCAGGGACAGGGTATTGTTAGGTGAGTCACTTCACATAATGGCCATCGTGATATGTGGCAGGCTCCATTGTAGTCATATATTGAGGACTACCTGTATAGGTGATCAAACTGAGATCCACACATCTGCTAAATGGAAGAGAATCTGGGAGATGACCCTGAGGGAAATAAACAAGACTAGGTTACACTGTATAAGCAAAGTGGACTGAAACACATCTTAAATCCTGGGAAAGAAGATAGCATTTGACCTCTTCCTGATTAACAGGGAGATAAAAGGGAAGGGAGGTAATGAGTCTTTATTACAGCCTGTTCAATAAAGTAGAGTTTTAGTCTTCTCATGAAGTCAGTTTCCTGATTCCTGACAGGCATTCTGATGGTTTTAACATTCCAGTTACACAGGAATCACTGTCAATCTTTCTGGTTGCTCTGTAGTTTCTCTGATCTAGGGACTACAGATTAGCTTCTGGATCATATATATATTTACCATCTTTAGCTGAAGTATTTGGGCTGATGTTGCTTACTCTGGAAGAACATGGAAACTGGAGAAAAAGAAGGTTGTTATTTTTTTCACATATTCAATACTGAGCAATGATTTTGCATATATTTTACTTCATTTTTAAAAATTTTATACTGAGTACATTGATTTCCATAAGTATGTGGAAATATCTTTCCTGGAGAGAATTAGATATAAATTAACAATATTGATCACACCTTTACATTTGTGTAATCACATGGAACTGCATTTATCAATAATGAAAATGTATTATGTGAAGCAAGATCTACAATTCTAAATAATAATGTAAATAAAAAATAATAATAATGGGCATGTTATATATAAAACTTTCACCCCAAGTAGAAATTTGTTAATTTTGATCTTATGTTGATTTGTGAGAAAGATGTCACAACATTCAGTGACATTTTTGCTGGTTTCAGTGAAGTTTTAAACACCATTAAATTCTGTGAGTTGTTGCTGAAATCAAACTGAGAATACACTAGAATTCTGTATTGTTTGTAGTAATAATACAGGGTATTAGTAATAAAAGTGTGTCTTCAGAAATTGTGTAAATCTTTATTAAACTGTCTGATAGAAAATCTTTTTTCTTATTTGAACTGGTATTTGATAACCAACCTGGAAAAAATTAAGTTCAGCAAAAGCACTGTCTTGTATTTGTCTCTATATCAGTTTCTTCCTAGGATAAGTTCTTCTGAACTTTGTAATGCATGCAGAAAATTTAGATTAGGTAAAAATGATAGCCAAGAATTAATGTTGACTTAATTGACCAGTACAGAATCAATCAGTTGAGAAATATATGTATCTATCCTCAGTGGGTAAAAATTAAGTTGGGTTGCTGAGGGGAAAAAAAGGCAAAATGAGGCATGAGCAATTTATGAAAAATATTATGAATAATGTGAGAGTCATTTTTGCAAGAGCTGGCTAGTAAATATTTTATATATTCATTAGCTGTGGAAACGGAAATGGTATTCGAACTCATACAATTACACTTTAAACAATTCATCAAATAAAAGCATAAAAGTTTACCCACTGATGGGAGAGTTGGCCATTTTGTTTCAGTCAATGGGACTGACTTCAATTGCCAATGTACAGCGAGATCATTAATAACAATCATTCAGTGCAATTTATGTATGTTAAAAATGATCTTTTCCTCACCCCCATGTTTTGAAAGCATTTGTGGAACTGAAACAACATATAATTTTTTTGCTTTTTCTTTGTAAAAGAATTTCCTTCCTTCCCCTTTTATTGAGATACATTAGATAGAACATTGAATATGTTCCATTATATGATAAGCTAATGTGCCTAATTAAAACCCATTCAAATCATTTTAGCAAAAATATCTCACAAAGACAAAATAACTTTCTCACTTCACCTAATGGTACATCTGATCCTGGTTCAGATGTACCACTGGTTCATAACAGTGGTTTCTCTACTATGGAGAGAAGAAAGGTTGCCTTATGGAGAAGAAATAATAATAATAATAATAATAATAATAATAATAATAATAATAATCATCATCATCATCATCATCATCAAAGTAACACCATCAAACATCCAGATTTGCCTATCCCAGGTCTTTGGTAAGGACTCGATAGGTAGACAAAAATGCCAAACCCAGTCTGAACATCTGGCTGACTATGCGGTGAATAATAATAATAATAATAACAACAACAACAACATGTATTAAATTTTTCTCAATTAAAGATATGGAGAAATGAGAAGAAAAATGTGATATTTAAAAAATTCCCTTGTTATAGACTTCTAGGGATTTTTCTAAACAGAACAAGAAGTATAGCTTCTTCCCATACTCATAAATTCCAATCAGCTGATTGTCTCCCTATGAATATCTCTCAGAGTAATGCATTATCATAGGAGATGCCTGGACCAAAAGTGGCACGGCCACAACACAAGTCTTCATTCTGAAGAGCCCTCCAGAATCCAGAGCGTGATGGACAGCTGTTATGAAGAGCTCCACACTTGAGAAAGAATTATGTGCCTTCTTCTGAGAGATGGTTGATAGGGCAGCC